TTTAACGATGTATCATTATAAATTGTACTATCGAGGGATAGAATAATGATATTAATTAAATTTATTGGTGTAAAATTAATATCCAATCTTGAATGTCGCAATGTCTATCTCAAGCAATAACTCAAGCTTTCACAAAGTCAATTTGTTCAACTAAATCGAACAGTTTCTTCTGTGTCCGCGCCAAATTCAATCAATTCTATTCAATAACGAACATATACAGTAAATTGAATTAAACACTTAGTTATTTTTGTTTTTAATTTTTATTTTATTTTCTTTTGATTGTCTGTTGTCTAAAATATTAAATCAACTTTCAAGTTGGTTCAATTATAAAACGAATTCATAATATAGTATTTTAAGATGCTTTAATCTTCTTATTCTCTTACTGTTTCTAATTTATAAAATTAAATGAAATTCAAACCATTTAACTTGTTGCACGAGTTGTGTCAGTATTTCTAAATCTCATAGTTTATAATTTATTCATAAAATATTATGCTGATAATTTTTTTTCCATGAATTACATAAACATGATTGATTCGTTTTTGAAAAAAAATTAAAATGTAAATAATATTAATTTTATTTTTTATTTTATCTTCTAAAATGACTTCAATTCAAATGAGTTGCTCACAAATTTCCGGATAAAAAGTGTTAATTGTACAGTCGCGAGGCAGACGTTAAATGTATAGTGATGCTAAAACAATTTTCTCATGTAATTTATTATATCTTCCTTCGTACAGAATACCCAGAGTTACTGGGTCATCAAGTGAGTATGAAGTGGGTAGCCGCAGTGGGCAATAGTTTCACTATATTTGACTCAGTAGTCTACACCTTCCTTTCTTTGTTTCTGTTGTGTGAAGCTTAAATTCTGACGTAATAAATATACATCTTCCAAGAACCATTCGTTTTAGTACATTGTTTTATGGCAATGCACGAAACGATGAACAGGATCATCTATCTTGACAGCAGCTTTTTTCACAACAAAACCCTTAAGTCTCAAGTTTCCATATTTTATCAGTACTGACCATCTAGAAGATATACAATGATTATTCCATCATCTTGTGCTTTATCTACCTTCAATAATCGCCCTTTTCTTTTTATTTCAATTCTATTCCAATTAGACATTTTTTAGTTGTTTTATTGAAAAAGTATGAGTTAATTAATTTATAATTCTGAAATGGTCATAGAGCAAATTATTTTTGGTATATGTTTTTTTAAAGAATGTCTTCATGAAGAAAATAAGTCATCCTTGTATGAAAAGCTAACATTAATTTCAAAATTGATTGTAATATAGACTCCTGGATGTACCTAATAAACAGGAGTATAAAATGGACTCATCATTGAACCAACACTGGAGTTCTGATCCAGTGATGGCCCAGTCTACATCCTCATTTGGACCTCTTGTAAAGTTAGGCCTGATGATGGGCCTATTTTATATTCCTGTTTAGGTACATCCCGAAGCCTATATTACAATCAATTTTGAAATTAATGTTAGTTCTTCATTTGAGGATGAAAAAGTCTATACACAAGGAAAAATAATATGCAGAAATGATAACGGAGTGCTCTATATCAGAAATTTACACATCAATCAACCTGATGGGTATTCATGTATTAATACATTAAAAAGAGTGATTTTTATTATTTTTTCATGTGTTGGTAGAAAAGAGTGTACTTTCTTAACTTTCTGAGAGCTATTTCAACTTTAAAATTCATTAAAAAATTTTATAATACTGAAATATGAATTATAGTTGAGTTGCAAGTGATCTTTTATGTTACAAATTTCATTTATTTTAATAGGATTGCACAATAGAGATATTTTGTAATAATCAACATTTTGTAAACTTTTTTTTATTTATTTCTCAATTGATACTATCATTGGATATTTTAAAAACATTTATTACTTTGATCGAGAATAAACCATTTTGATCCAAATGAACTGGTATTAACGTTCAAAGCTCCTGAATGATTAGTTTTTAACGTGCCGATTATCGAGTTACAGCAGTCTCTTAATGAAAATATAAATCCATTACCCTATTTGAATATTTTTTAATAAAATGTGTCATTCATTGGCAGTTGAAATTTGGAAAATTAAACACGCGGTTTGGGTGACTGGTGTAATTTATTTCTCGTTATAGATAATTTGTTATTGAATTTAGAAGGAGGTTGGTGAGTAGGAGGTATACAATGGACTTTTAAAATACTAGAGAAGTTTAGCATTTCTTATTGTGATAAATTAACACGACTAGGTGCTTCATTAATTCTAATTTGCTATGTAATATGGAGAGCCAGTTGCCTAGAGGGAAGCTTCTCTCGCGTTAAAGTGAAATGTGATAAATTATCCCCCTGAAAATAAGGAGTAAAAAGGTAACATCCATCGGACCAAAAAGCCAACTTTCGAAACTTTTGCCAACGAGAAATCTCATAGCAAAACGACTGAAACAGAATTTAGACTACTACCAGTAGTTTGAAACTAATTCTAAAAAATCAGTCCAAACTGTGACCCTTTTTCCTTTTTATTCCGCTTTTTTCAAAGTTCAATTTTGCCACCAGATCGGTCACTCATTTTTCAGGATATTCAAATCTTCTATACTCTGCACCTGCTTACTTTACCGTGGCTTTTCTGAATATATCAAAGGTAGAATTCCAGTTTTCTTATAGTTTTAGTTACAACTGGAAAAGTAACATTTGTCATGAATAAACAATGATCAATTTTCTATCGTCACAGCTAAAATAAATGATATGAAATTTTATAAAGCAAAAATTCTGATTTAAAAATTTTTATTTAAAATCATCATTTAGCTTTTATATTAATTTTCATGAGATTGTACATAAAAATGATTGCAATAGATCTTGAAAAAAGTTATTTCTATTATATGTTGAATGTAAAATATTTCTTATGTGATTTTAACATCATATACATTCGAATCAAATTGATATTTTTGTCATCTTGGTGAAGTGAGCAATCCAAAACATATTTACTAAATAAATCGAATATTTTCTCTATTTACTTTATCACTTTATCCACAAAGAGTACAATAAAAGTATTGATTTTATTTTAAATAATATTAAAAGTTTGTTATATTAACTATAATATATGATACTTTTTCCAATAATGTTTATGTAAAATTATACTTAACTCAATTCGAACAAATTTTTTGAAATTCATAGAGAACTAAAATTTATTCAAATGATATTATAACTGTATCATATTCAAGGATTTTATTGTTGAAAAATTTTTAAATTTTTTGAAATCAATTTTTTTTTTTTTTTGTAGAAGGACCTGTTTCTCAACGGAGTCATTGACCTAGTCTTTCACAAATCCTTGTGATACGCACGACCTTTGCGATGTTCCTGCTACTGATCCTTGAGATAAATTGGAATAGAAGGATTTCAGTACACACACACATCTACATCGACTATACTGATATACATTTCTTGTGGGTAAAAGCTTGTCTAGACTCCGGTTTCACTTATGGGTAAGTTTTTTATGAAAAAAAAAAATATAATTCATTTTTTTCACCAAGACATTTTCTCAAATAATTTATAACAAGGTAAGTCATGACATTATTTTAGCATTAAACTAATAATATTAGATATAATTTAAAAAGAAAATATATATATATACATACATAATTTAAAAAAGTTTTCTATTGAGATATATTCAAGATCATAATTAAATGATTTTCAAATGTATTTCAGATTGAAATAATTTAAAAAAATAGTTTGAATGAAAATTTTATCAAATAAGGTACCATATGTTGACAGAAAGGGAAATAAATTTAATTTCATAATCTAAATGCTTTATTAATACACACATACATATACTGACTGCAGCATTATTTCATTGCGTGAAGTGGACATTTAACATATATTAAAATAAACAAATGCCCTAAATGTATCTGACATTAATACTCATTATTACAGAAGATAAAAACGAAGAGAAGTAATGTGTGTATGGTTGTTGAATAATTAAACAAACTGCAGTTGGTTATATTGATAAAAGAATTGTTATCAAACAAAATTTTTTAAAAGACAGGAACAAAGGATTCGTTCTATTTTCTCTGCATTTTGCAAAAAAATCAATTATATGAAATGAAAATTCTTCAAAGCTGAATTTGTCAATACAATTGAATTCATTCAACAAATGAGAAATAAAATGAATGGATAAAATATTAAATTAATAAAAAAAAAAAGAATGACATAACTATGCATAATTTAATAATAAAAAAATGATTCAATCAATCGATATCGACATGAGGATAAAAACAAATGTCATAAAAACTGAACGAATGCTACGTTTGAATATTTAAGAGAGACACGTCCTACAACTGGTACGTGATTCAGAAGGTTTACGATTCGATGAGGCGTGACATAGTAAAGTGACTACACCAAGTTATATATACTTCTAGTGCTTGGAGCATAGTCTTTACAAAGCCTTAGCACATTGGTTAGAGCATTTCATGAGCAAGATCAACTGTGAATGGTCTTTTGAACACAAAAATCTACTGACAAGATACTGAGCTAATGTCGATTTATGGAAATTCTAACATTGTAAATAAGAATAAAATTATCCCCTGAATTCAGAATCTTCAAGTTCAATTATTCAATTGAAAACTTTCTTGCTAGTAAAGCAAGAATTTTATTTGATAAATTCAAAGTTTTATTATGATAATTAATAAACTATTTTAATCATCTTTTATCTAATAATATTTTATAATTAAATAAATTAGTTTTTTCAATTGGTTTATAATTAAAAATATCAATAATTGATAATATATTAGAATTAAAATGTTAGAATTAATTTCATCATTTTATATAAAATATTTATGATGAAGGGAATGAAATTGATGTGATTGAACGATTAATTTCATGAATGTTGACAAATGTGCAGTATAATATCCAATATTAAATTAATTTATGGAAGTGTGTAAATAAGATGAATTAATTTAATTTGATTGCTTATTTCGACCCCATAATGAATTTTAAAAGTCAAATAATAAACTTACCTTGTGATCGAGAAGAATTTAAAAACAATTTATGATTGCCAGTAATTTCTTCAAAGTGACGATAAATAGAAGAGTTATCGTGATGATGTTGATGATGATTTGCTATAACAATTGTGGTGATTGCCAGCATAAACAATAATCGTAACTCCCAGACCAATCCCGATGACATCCTCCTCCGATTTTCGCATCCCCCTATTGATTCTTTTTTTCTGGTCTAACTGTGAGTTTGTTGAATCAATGGAATGTCTTGAATTTTCAAAATTCACATGTATATTGGATGTAGCCTCTAAGATAAAAAAGAAAAGATATTATGTCAAGATATCAATGAAAATCGAATAAAAATATTTATTATCCATTTTATTAATGAACTGTTATTTTAATTGATAAAATTCAGTGAATTCATAATAACTTAAGTTAGTTAATTCAAGACCACTTTTCCATAATAGTAAAAAGTAAATGAGAAAAAAAAAATGCGAAAAGTTTTAATAAACTGTGAAGTAGTTGGAGGATATAGAGTGCGTTAATTTCCAGCAGTTAAATTAAGTTGTGAAAGTAAAGTTAAACCATATATAATTCTTAACATATTTTTAAATAACCGATATAACGACTTTAAGTTTAAATATAACAATTGTATTTGTTAAATGTTAATAACTTTTTTTTTTTTAAATCTATTTCAAAAAATCAATCTGATTATTTATTTATTACAATTTCCGTTATCTTGTAATATATTATGATCAAAAATTGATCTCATTAAGTAGCTAAAATTATTTTGTAATTAAATATATAATTGAAATAGTAATTAAATATTTACTGACTTAAAATTAGTCAGTATTCGAAATTCGGCCACAGAAATGTTCTAATCTTGAATAATCAATTTTCGAAAAATTGGATTGATGATTTATCGTTAGAGTATTGTTTCATTCATATGATGGATGTAAAGTTGTATTTACAATGTGGTGAATTTTCGTTCTATGTAATCTACGAACTTCCATGAGGTTTTCCGGGATGTGCACATGAATGAACGGTGTATCTATCGACTTTTGTAAATACATATCTGCTGATATTTACAGTAAAGTTAATATGCATTTAAAAAAAAAATAACTGAAATGATTAAAATAAAATTGACTTTCAAAACTTTCGATAGTAAAACCTCTAGTCTACAGTTATTAAATGACATGTCAATTTTTATTTCATAAAACCATTTAATTATAAATGTTGAGAACTCTAATTTGAAGTAGAAATTATTATTATTGAATGTAAAGTAGTCAAAAATATTCCATTTTCTCGTCGTTTAGGATGAATGGAACTTGAATCCGAAATAAATTGAATCGATGCTGTAGAAGTCAGAATCTCACTTTCAATGGCATCGAATTTTATTTCTAATATGATTCACAATTTGAATAATTTTCGAAGCCTGAAATATTAGTTGAGTTAATTAGATTAGTATTGGTCTTAAAAAATATATATTGTAATTTTAAAAAGTGAGATCATTTTTTTTTATCGAATATTCTTTCTATAACATAAGCTTACTAATGTGAGCTTCGAACTTTATAACGAGATAATCTCGATAATGAATTTCAAATAGGACTTAAGGTACAAAGTTCTGATATTCATATCAAAATATCCATTCTATTTGCATTAATATTTTTTTCATACTAGACCCTAGTAAGTAAAGGATTTAAATGCAAGTAACTACCTCAATAAGTTAAAACTCATGAATTTTTTTACACAGTGTAAATCAAATGAATGTAATTAATCATATTGAGAACATCATCTAGAATAATATTAGGAACAACTTTTGATTCTTTTCTATTATTAATTATAAATATTTCTGCATAAAATTTATTTTTAGAATTAAAGAAAATAAAGTACTTTTCAAATATTCTATTAAACTTCGAGATTACATAAGGTAATCTTTGAGCATTTTCTTTTGCAGAGATCATCTCATAAGTCTTTCTGAGCATTTTCTTCGATGTTTAACCTGAAGGAAATCCTCAGAGATCACGAGTACAGCTTCCCAGCATCTTCCAGTTTCGAAGATATGGTATCTGTTTATTTTGTAAAAATCCCTGATATTTTTATACATTTATTTATTCCGAAAAAATTTATTCAATTAGTGTAAAACAATTTTTATGAAATTATTAATTTATTATAATTATCATCAGAAATTTTTTGTGATAAAAGTCCTATCAACGTACGGACATATTTCCCTTGAGATGAAAACTCATAAGCAGATTGAGGATCATCGACCTAGATACAGTTACTACAGGAATTCTGAAAGTATAAAACGCTACTGAGTTTGCTGTAACCTTAATCGTCAATTTATACAGTGGACAAACAATAAACATGCACTTGTACATTCTCGTGATAAATGTAGATTTACAACTATATAAATCCGCTTATCAACGCATTAACATTTAAACTTTTCAAGTATCAGCATACAGAAAAGAAATTCATTATCAACAATGAGGAAACTAACAACGGACAATGTGCTACACAACCTTTCTTCCTCGTTATGTTCTTCTTTTCAATCGAAGGCGTTTCTCTAACTCTGCACTTTTCCAAACATAATTTTCCAACGACTTTTATTTTTGCCACACGAGCGAAAGTCATTTTCTCCGAGTTCTCGGAGATTACCTTAGCTCTCTCGGTAGTGAAACTTCTTGACATCGTAAACATCAACGTCTATAAACGCGATGCTTTACTCGATTAAGAGTTTCGGACCTGTGTACAGTAGTGGCTTAAAAAAGACTAGTGATAAAAAAAGTTTTCATGACTGAAAACTGTATCAAAAGTTTGTTTGTATAAAATAGATATAAACATTATTTATACCTTGTTTACTTGAGAAATAAACATTTTTGTCAAATGAATCCAACTAACGGAAATGTTATTCTCTAAAAATAACGTTTGTGTTATAGTTGACAACAAACTTTTAGAAGTTAAAGTTAGCTAGTCATTTTAAGAACACAGCAGTCTGGTGTACTTTGCGTTTACATGTAGCATTCTGCATTGCAAATACATAAACTTTATTACTTAGATACAATACTAGCACCCGTTGTCGTTGTTCTGATGCTTGTGCATAATTTTGCAAAAATATATAAACAGATTGAAAAAAACTCCAGTTGCCATTAATAACTTTTTTTTTTTAACTTCTTAAATTTATAATTTATAATTATCCTCATTCTTCATCGTCATTCACATACTTTGTGACAAAGTATAATTATATTTCTTTTGCTCACTTATTTAGTTTTTGAAATAAAATATTCGTCTATAAAATATTCTTCTTCAGAAAGACTACATAAAGTGTAAGATAGTTGATAAGTGAGTAAAAAAGTTTCTTCATCGTCAGAGAACAAAATTATTCATTTTTCAAAGAACAATTTGACAGCTTGCAACGTCACTGATAAAATAAGAGTTTATTAGAGTTTATAAATTACGTAGGAAATTCATTATCATAACAATTGAAAATCGTTCATGTAATTTATGGTTCCATCCTTTTTATTTCTTTTGAATTAAATTTATATTTTAAAAAAGAAACTTGTTCACAATGTGCTTATATATTTATTGCAAAATAAATTTTTAAAAAAATCATTCAATAAATTGCAAAAATTTTATCATACTTATATTGCAGTTGAGGAGTATCCGTTTAAAAGGTCCTATTTCCTATTTTATTTTTATCATAAAAAGTATTTAAATTGTTTAATGAAGTATAATAATAGGCTAATTGGCAGGCTAATTGATGCCTACATGCACATTTTATTAAAACATCACATTAACATTTTATTAATTTTAAAAAATAAACATTCATTTCTTTCTGCAGGGAAATAGGACTTTTTGAACAGACACTCTTCAGTTGTATGAGATTAGTTGCATATTGCAAGATAATTTTATGTTATGAAATACCAATGTATTTCATGGGTAACGAAGGAGTAGATATTACTCTTGAATAGAGTAAATTATTCATTTACACAATATTGATGATAATGAAAATATTAACATAGAGATCATTTTCAATTATTAGAATCAATCTAGATTTGTATAATTTTATTAAAATGTAATAATAATCACTGCATTAGATGGTCAAAATAAGCAAGTAAAGCTTTGTAAAATATTTATATTAATTCAAAGATCTAAATATTGACTTTATAAAGCAGAAACTTTATGAATGAAAACTGTTGCATCAACTTCCTAGTAGCTATCAGAGAATACTTTGATAATTGGTTATGTTTAAAAATTTAAATCAATTTGTCTTTCGTTTCTTCCTAAATATTTTTTTTATCCTTCAAATGAATTGAACAAATAATCACAAATATTTAATTTTGTAGCATGTTATTGAATGACTATGATTGTCTATCATCAACTACCCCATACAGTTAGTAGCATAATAGTACGTACTATTTTCAAAATTTACTTTCCATTAGAGATTCCGTTGGTACAACAACGAAAAAATAAAAAGTATAAATTAAATGTTCTTATATTGTTGAATAAGAAAAGAAAAGTGGTTAAAGCATACGAATACTCAAGCACGTTTTCTTTAAGCCACTAGGTCATCGTTACAAGGAATAACATTAAATATTTAATACAGTTCTTTCTTTACTCTATTCTTTTCTTAAAAGAACAAAAAAAAACAAGCGCATATACTTCATCGTTTGTCTAATATGGTGTATACATATTTTATTCTCTAGATATAAATGCAGACAGATTCTTCTTTATTTTACTATTTAATGTTGTAAAAGAATTTGCATTTGGTATATATATATATAAAAAAAAAGAGTTGTATTCATAAAAGATTTCAATAACACGCCATAAATTTTTATACACTTTTGCACTTTTTCAGTATATATATTTTTTTATAATTTTTTTTTTTCAAGACACTGTAAAGAACTATGGTTTTTATGTATTATACTAGAATTATGTGTATTTCAAATGAGTCTTCGTGCAGGTTGTGTAGAAGCACCAAGCTTTGCTTTCGTAAATTCAGCAACGAGTTTTAATCTGTCTGCCGGAATTCATCTCTCTTACACCATTCACTGGTGTAGTGAACGCTATATCAAGAGATACGAGAGTTAGTGCTCAAGCTCGTTAATTGGAATCTCGGTTCTCAGTATTTCGCTTAAAATACTTTATATTTAATTAATATGGGGATATCGAAATATTCATTATTATGTATAATTGATTGAATTTATCAAAGAAATATAAATGTCATTATATTTCATTTGAGATATAATTATCTTTATAATCAATGAATTATTTTTACAAGTAAAATTTATTTTAATTTTATTCTTCAAGTGAAGCTTGATTGTTTCAAATGTGTTTTTCAATTTTAATTCATTATGTTGTTTCGAAAAGTTCAAGTAAAAAAAAAAAAAAAAATATTTCTTTTAGAACTTTGTACTTTTGGAGTAAGATTTTTTTTTTTTTTAAATCTTCTGGGTTTTCTTTTTCAACACTTGGTTACCCTAGTTTGTAGCAAAAATATTTCATTTAGTTTTGTGACTCAGTTATTTAGACTCAAATTGCCGTAGGATATTTTTAAAAAAAAGTTCAAGTATTCAAAAAGTTGATGTTAAGCTTACTTGACTGTTAACAAAAACTGTACAATTAATTGTTGACATACCAGTAATATAATACTTCAATAATTATATTGACTATTTTAATTTAGTAATCACTTATAATTGAATATGAATAATTAATAGTTGAATTAATTAATTTTAATAAATTTCCTAACTTAAATATGATTTTAAACAATTGAATTTTGTGGTTAATAAATAATAATTGACAACTAACTACCTTTAGGAAATAATTTAATAAATAAATAGTTATGGATAGGAATTAAATGAGTCGGGACAAGAGTTTCATAATAATTAATGATGTTTAAGCATTTGGGAATAGGACAGAATCTACGTTGCTATCATTTCGAATGACTAACTTGTGGTCGAGTAAACATTTCATCAGTGAATAAGTTTGCTAGTGTAATTACTTCAGCTCGTAGCTTGGTCGTTCTAATCCACCTCGAAAACTAACTTCAAGTATAAAGAGAGAGGGAAGAGATCGTATGAAGGTGTAGCAACTGACTACAAGTGACTAAGTCTAAAAGCAAGTCGTGAATGTAAAATTAAAGAAGCCTAATATGGCAAAGAAATTTGGAAATATTTTAAATAAATAAAGAGACCAATTGAATAAATGATGATACAAGAAATATATTTCAAGTGAATTTCAATTTTGTATTATTTTTGAATTCAAAAATGTAGTTTTTAAAAAAAACATCATTCAATTTTATTCTTTCAATATTCTACCATCAGCATTACTATTTATTTTCAACTTTATTTTTTCTCTTAATGAAAAGTAAATAACTTGAAGACATTTATCGAGATAATTTTTCTACTTCTGGAATACATTATCATATTCTGATATTTATCATGTACCCTTTGGGAATAAAAGAAAGCGTGTAAATTTTCCAATGCCTTGAGGGGGTTCTCACTGGATTCTATCGAATACTAAGTGCAAGAAAAATTCACGCGATGATACTTTAAAAGTTCTGATAAAAAGTATAATATCGAAGCTTAAAAATGAAACTGATAAGAAAAAATATTTTTTCAAGTTACATCTATCTATAAATATCTACACATCATTGAAATAAATCATTTAAAAACTCAAACTCATAATGAAGATTTCAAGAATTTTAAATTTAATAATAAATTAATTCATCAATTTATAAATAAAAAAGAAATAAAAATAAAATATTTGTTGTGATATTTTTTTCAAACAATATCAAATATCAGGTGAGTTGTATTTTGGCGAAATACTGTGTTAAATCCTAAGATTAAATAATACTGAGTCCACAGTTGTACACAGGGGATATAGAGTAATACTGCATCAGTTTATAAACTTAGGAATTTATTACATGGATCAACAACTTTTTCTGTGATGCTTGTTGTTAATATTCTCAAATTGAAATGATGGCTGGCCTAACATTCAACAATAAAAAATTTTTTCTTTATCACGACTTTTTAAATTAATTCTACTTAACTTTTACATCAAATTGTCGTAATATCAATAACCATTTGAATCAGATATTATTCATGCTTACCTGAACAGTATTGCAACAACACCTTATCCTAAACCGTCTAAGCTCCTTCGGATAATCAATGGACAAGTGTGCTTGTGATCTGGGTCATGTTTGCGTAAATTGAACACGAAGATTACATGACATCGACTAGCTGTATATTTTACAAGGAGCAAAAATGCATTAACGGAAATAGTGTGTACGAGAAAAAGAAACAAGTATAAGTTTTTGGAAAGCAACAATCTGTTGTACCGAAGAGACGAAGACTGGAACAATTACTCAACATTGGTGACACGTGATTTATTAGAGTATAAGCACTTGAGATGTTGAAAAAGTCACTGTGATAAATATCCAGTATTTTACGTAGATAGCAACAACAGTTCTCATTTCACTAACGCAAAGAATTGATTTTTTATTTTTAAAATTCAAAATATTTGAAAATAATCTGCATGAAGATTTTACTGCTCTGTTGACAAAGCCTTTGAGCAACAGATTCTTTATAGTGTTCTCCAAAGTTTAACGCCTACAAAGCCTTCAAACGGAAATACAATAATTTTCATTGATTCAAAAGAATATTTTATCATCAGATTAAGGTTTTATAATAATTAATATTACATTTGTTGAGCTTTTTACATAATAAATTGACTACTGTTTCTGAGTAATTACACCAAGGAACTTTCAGTTTAAACAAAAATAGCAATATGATGTGAATAAAGAATGAATCTGGTTTCAAAAATAATAGAAATAATACAAATAAAAGGGAGGATGTTATTAAAAAAAAAAATCCAATTACAAAAGAAAAAAAGATCTATATTAAAAAATTGATAACAGCCAAAGGTATTAAAGTCATTAGTATCATTAAATGCTTTCTGATAGAGAGATTTTTTTCACGAAAAAGTTACATTTTTATCTTTAATTTTATGTTTTAATTTAAAAACATAGAATTGAATGCCACTTCATTCATTGTAATTACAAAACAAAATTAATTATTTCTTACTCAATAATTCTAAATTAAAAAAAGCTTCTTTTTTTTTTTAATTTGATTATTGTCAGACTTTAACTAAGATTAATTTTTTATTAACACAAATGAATGAGTGTTTGATAAAGAATTTTATTTTTAACTCCATTGATAAACTTTTTACAAAGTGAAAAGCAGATTTTAGTTTTTTAAATAAAGTTATATTGATATAAACAAATTATTATGATTATTTTTAGTCTAGATTAGAAGGCTTTTAGTTGATACATCAGACAGATATCTAACGGTGCAATATTTATCGTACTTTACTTCTCATAAAAGAGACCTATACTGGACGTACTTACTTTGTTCATGTAGAACAAAAAGTATGTTGTTGAAAAATAAATGATACATTCCTGATTTTTCTTCTCAAATTTACTCTTTAGATTGCAACACACTTTAACATCAAACGAAAGTATAAATATATGAGAAGCATAAAAAAAAACGTATATTGCAGTCTGTAAAGCGGATAGAAAACTAATTTCCGCTGATGGAAAACAGAATTAAAAGAATCGAAATTTATAAACCTAAGGATATCATTCAGTATGTTTGGTGTTTAGGAATTTTCCATTTCCTCAAAAATTATTTGCTCAATTGACGATTTATTCAGGATCAATTGATGAAAAAAATCCTTGCATCTAATGATTAGATGCAAAAAAAAAAAACGTTATTTGATTAAAAAGATTAAGAAAGCATTGAAAAAAAAATTTAAAAAAGAAAAAAATATTTACTTTTTTATCAATTACTGTTGGTTCATGTCGATTTAATGTTATCAACTATTGTCCTGAATTGGCCAATTATTGGTACATCTAGTCAATAGCGAATCTAAAAATTGGATAACTTTATACCCAACATTTCCAATACAAGAGTTCATTTTCAGATGATTCACTTATGTTTGGTACAAAAAAAACTTTACTCACATTAAAGTCACATTGTCATATAGAAGTGAATGTATTCCATTTTATTAGTGAATTAATGAATAATGTATTTAAATTTGATGATGGAAAAAAAAATAATACTTAAGGAATGGTGTCTTAAGTGATGATGAAAGAGAAAATTATTAACAAAAAGATGGTTCTTTTCAGGGTATCACTACTACTTGGTCTATTAGATCATGAGCTTTTGTTAGTGGAACAATTAGCATTCAGTAAACTAGAGTTGCGTAGGATAAGAGAACAACTTAAGAGAGAATTATTAAAAGCTTGAACCTTTGTGATACGAACTTTAATTGTTACTTGGAAATTTTCTAGCTTACACAACTGTTCATTTTTCTCTAAAATTATCTTAAATAATAGTAAATTAAAAAAATATCTTTTATTTATATTATAATCATTTCATATTTTTTTTTCAAAATTATAATAATAATATTATATTAATATATTATTATTATTTTATAGAATAAAAAAAAAAAGTAATAAAAAATCTTACAAAAAATAAGATGTAATGTGTTTTATAAATTTTACTTGAAGTTTCAAAACATTCTATTCTGATTTTGAGATTGATATCAATTGTTTTGACTTTGCCTTCAACTTCTCCTAACTATGGTTCTCTGATTTAAGTTTAATTAAAATTGTACTCGATATTTATTATTCATCAAAATTTTTTTATAGTCTTTTGTAAAGATCTTATATTTTATTGAGTATTGGTACTATCAAGAATTATCCTTATTTCCTGTACATTAACTTGTCATGTTTCTGTAGGATTAATTTTCATAGAAAGAATAATGGTAGCAATATTATATTAATTATTACATTAACAAAAAATTTTTTAATCATAATAATTAAATAAAAAAAATAAATTACTGTTATATTTAAAATTTCTATGATTTTGTTTACATCAAACTATAAGGCGTCTGACTAAACACAGGATTCTCTACTTAGAAAATTCGGCTGCAGAAAAAAAACATTGTGGACAATTTTTTTAAAATTATTTAATTAAAATAAAGGAAGTAAATAAAATATTCAATGAAAAAATAATACTTACAGTGCTGTATAATTAAATGCACAAATTTACAACGATGCAAATCAATTGACGAATGATTTAAATAAATATTATTCAAGATAGTAATATTTATGTATCAATTGAAAACTTGTGGACACCAGAACGCTCGAACGCTAACTGACTACTTGAAAAGCTTGCTGACTCTCCCTACTACGCACGTGCTCGAAGAAGCTTGTGCAGATGACGCAGAGTTGGCTTACTTATAAGTCATGCGTATCAGCTCGAAAAATGCAAAAAAGAAAAATTGCATAAACGGATTTTACTCAAAATCTGCATTAAAAAGATTATTTTGATTCTTATAAAAAACTTTTTCAATTATACAAATATTAATTTGATATCCATCTTGTGGATGCTGACAATTATGATGATCAATTTTTTCTTTTGAGATCATATTATTACAATTGATTAAATTTCTTCATCAAAAACTCATCAAAAACTTTCAATTCAATTGGGTTAATATGCAAAATTATTCTACTTTAAATATGTTTATAATACTGTTTCCTCAACGCACGTGGAAAAGATCAATAATTGATCAGACTTCCACTTGAAGGCGTTGTAACAGTAAGTTTAAAAAAAAAAAAATATATTAATATAATTCATCAAGTTTCTTATTGATTAATTATGATTTAATAATTTAAACTATTGAATAAATTTTCATATTTTTTACTTAACTTTATAATAAATAATTATAGAAAAAATGTCAATAATAACTTTTAGGTATTATTGAATGATGAATTAAGTATATTTTTTAGCAAGGTGTAAAATAATTCTGAAAGTATAAGACGTGAATTAATTGCATAGAGCGATTTCAACATCTAGAAAGAGAGTACTGCAAAATTATCTTACTTGAAATACTTGAACAAAATAAACGTCTTGCTGGCGGTTTATTCAATGCTGTGCATCTGATGTGCATAGAAAGTTAAAGCGGAGAAACTTAGCTCTTAATGTTCTAACGTGATTTCCAAATGAGGAAATTACCAAAATTAACGTTCTTAAGTTTAATCCTTTAAAATGACAAATATTGCAGTAAAATAAAATTAGTTGAAAGGAGAATTTCTTGATGAATTATTGATTATAATGATTAATAATTAATGGTAGATTTGTAAAATATTAATATCATTTATATTGTTAGTTAAGATAATTGAGAAATTTTTAGCAAAATTCTTTCTCTTGACTAGAGTGTCGAAATCTGAGCATGGTTCTGTTCATGACACTAACGTGAAATCGAACATTGTTTGGACACACGATTTGCGGTTAATAGATTTCTCTCACATCAGTAGCGAGCATCCTTGCCGTAACATGACAGATGATATTTTTGTTCAGCTAATTATTTTCCAAAATATGGTATGTTGGCCAACCAGAAAAATCTATAATTACAATATATACAATAACGTTTAATTATCCATGTTAATAACTCTAATATTTTAGTCATTAAATTTTATTAAATACACAATAAACTTTTTTTCTTCATGAATAAATAATTATATCGAATATTGTACGGGATTTATCCTCACGAAAGGATCATTTGATTAATATTTTCAAGCAGAAACATTTAATAATTAATAGAGTAAAGTTTTTTTTAAAAAACCTTCATGTATTTGATTTTTTTAGAATTATCTACAACAAAAAAAGAATGAAATGAAAACTTTTGCGTCCACATCATTTGATAGAATTAAAAAAAAATTATAAATTGGTGACAGTTAATTTTTAAAGAAAAAAAAAAATAATATAATTGACATGATTTCAATGGATGTAGGTAACTTTAATCTTTTTATAATTTTTGAAATAACTTTTTTATTTTTAAAATTGAAAAGAACTTTCGAATGATGAATGGTTTAAAATAGAGTACAACTATTAGAAACTTCACATTTAATTTGAAATGAAAAGTAGGAAATAGTTAACAACTTGTATGTACTAATGTTCAGAATTTTAATTATTTTTACTAAATTATTTTATCAACCAAAAAAAATTCACTTCATCACAGAATTACTTCTATTTTATTATTCCAAAGTTAATTGTTTATTGTTTAATTCAAAATAATTTGATTTTTTTAAATTAATATTCAGTATTTAAAACTTTATCATGTTTTGAAAAATCTGCATCCTGTATTTACATGAAATACATTTCATTATTTCAGCAAATGATATTGCATTGATATTTCTCTTCTGAAGACTTTTCTACAATCTATTTTTTCATAGAAGAGTATTTATTTCCCTTCTAACCGACTGTAGGTATGCTTTAAAGCTCTCCAACCATCAGTTAATATAAACTGTAAGCTTGCAAGCTCAATATCTTCTGCTAATATTTTTTCCAATTTCTCAAGAGAAAACTGAGAGGGCTCATGCTTGACACGAATAAAAAGAGTTCATAGAATAATGCCAAATGACCTAGAAGTTCTACAGTAATATATTCATTGTCAACAATCAATCGACTTCTTACATGAGCTATATATCATCAATGAAGATGTACTTTGAAAAATTTGACTGACGAAAAAACTTTGGTTTTTTTTTAAAAAAAATTTCTGATATTATTTTTTATCGGATAATACATATCAAGGGGTGCATGAGAATTAGGAAAATGTAGAGAAGAAAAAGGAAAGTCCTGACAGGATACAATAAACGCATGAATGAAATTCATGATCAAATTATTTGAATAATATTGTCAAATATATAAAATACTTGACTATTATAATTCCGTACTTTTAGGTGACTCTTTTTCATTCTTGTGGAATACTGGTGCAAAACCAAGCTAGAAGACAGCACATAAATATTCATATACAGTATACATAGCAAGAAAACGTGAGAAGCACCCCTTGTATAAACTGGTATGTGTTATTTTAAATTACCTATGAGTGACATCAATGTGACCTAGTAAATAAAAAATATCACTATAGTAATTTTTTTTTAAACATTATAGAACATTAACGTATTCATTTTTGTCTTAACTTTTTTTTTATTCTCCATTGAACTAAATCTATCCTCATTAATGTATTATTGATGGACTTGGTACTTGAAGTTTCTTTCAGACATTTTGCTGGGGTATAGTTTACTAGTTAGATTATAAGCATCAAATACTTAACTCAAGTTTCAACGTTGTTAAATCTATATATATATACTTATTTGAATGAAAATTAAATTATTTCGCCAATCAGTTATTTGATGTATCATTAAAAGTTACATATGGATATAAGTGAAGATAATTGATGAATTACTTGTATATAAGAATTCTTGTAATTTTTCAAAACTATCTAATTAGTATAATTTAACAAGAGTTCTTATAATAAGGCTACATCATCATACAAACTGCTGGCTAATTGAATGACTTTCAAGGATTTGCATAAAGTTTATTGACCATACAGATGAAACATAGTTTATTGCAGAAACTATATTAATGAAAATAACGATATTATTAAGTAAAATATTGAAAATTCAACCTGAACCATTTCCAAACTAAAGCTGGAAGAATTTTTTACATCTATATGTTGATTTATATTTATATATAAATCTATCAATCTATAACTTAAAGCCTGTTTTACTGTTTTTCCTTAACCCATTCATCTCCAGTATTCCGGACACACCAGTTTGCTTCTCTTGTATTCGAGTTAAAGCGGCTGTAAGAAATCTCAAGCTCCAGACATTTTCTAAAGAAATACGATCCACTTGGAAAAGCCGAAAAAAGCAGCGGATGAGCCTGTAGAGTAAGATGTATGTGTTAAGAACCTGAATTAGATAGAAGTATGTTGAAATGGAACCATCAAGAATTTATTCAACTAAACAATTGAATAACAATTATACTCATTATTATTATAAGCTTAAAAAATATCGTTCAAAAACAATGAGTATACAATAAAATGATTGTGATAAAAATTAAAAAAAAAAGACTAGTTCTGATACTGTATTATTGATACCATGATTTAACTTGGTAACATTTTCTACTCCAATGTACGATAAAGATACATCCAACGTGGCTATAGAGACTCTTGGTATCAAGGTGAAAGTTAATGGACATGTCAATTTCTAAATCTCTGATATTTTATATGCAAGTTAGAAATCTCGTAGAGCTTTTGTTTGAAATAAAGTTCCTTATCCAATCGCATTTCTATACCATCAGAACTGAATTGAAAATACTTGAATTCAGTAATTTAAGTTAACGTATATATTACAGTCACAAGTCTCCAACGCACTTTAAGTGTAAATAAGAATTTCAATTTGGTCTTATTTTGGAGTCCTAAACATGGTCCACTTTGCTTTTAACAAAAGAAGTTAATTCAGGCCTAGAAAAAATAATAAGACCAGGATTATTTATTCATTATTTATGCAATGAAAAGTCTCATGGGTAGTAGTTGACAACCTGGACTATTCATCAATTATTTATGTGATAGAAGTCCTATGGTTTTGAAGGTAGTAAAAGAGTAGTACCAAATGAGGGTGTATTGAGATAGTAATAAGGTAGTTACATTATGGTACACCATTGGAAAACATAATTAAACTTATATATAACCATGTTTCATAGCTACTCTGGTACAAAATGAGTTTTATGAGTATGGGGTTGGGATTGTTCAACAACTGATGATACCTTACTACTTTAGTCACGAATATGTGACAAGTATAAAGTGTTTGCTCTGTTTAGTGCAGTGATGTTGCAGAGAGAATCTTAAGTTTTACACCTTTCCACTAATGAATATTAATGAATAGACTGTGGGATGCTGCGAGCTTGATAAAGTACAAACCATCTTAGGTTTAGCCTACATCCATCGCTAATACTTATTCTAAGCTTATTAAATTTATGTCAATATTATCAAATAAATTATATATACCATAGTGAAATGATAAAAATAACTTACAGGTATCTTATAATATCTTATTCATTTTTTCAATTTATTATAATGGCTTTTTTTTATAAAAGTGTTTTGAGTTACTTTTAATCAACATAAATATTGACATTGGTTTTATAATTTTACGACCTTCGTTGTGGTACTTGATAGAATATTTTTCATAAAGTACATATTTGTAAATTGAAAAATTTTAAAATAAAAATATTACAGTGAAAAATGATTACTATAAGCAAATAAATAAGTGAATTATGTAAAATATGACAGGA